ATACTGGGAGGGACTGGAACTACAGTGGGGTGACTGGGGAGCAACTGGGACCATGCAGGGAGTAACTTGGATCCTACTAGGAGAGACTGGGATCATACTGGGACTAATTGGGAGCATGCTGGAGGCAACTGTGCTATACTGGGAGTGGTTGGGAGTGACTGGGATCGTTCTGGGAATGACTGGCACCATATTGGGGGTGAAGGGGATCATACTGGAAACCTGCTGGGGGCAACTGGGATCATAGTGGGAGCAGCTGGGCCCCTCCTGGGGTCCTGCTGGGGTCTTACTGGGAGTGGCTGCAATAATACTGGGAGTGTGTGGGAGGGACTGCAGCCATACTGGGGATGAGTGGGATCAAACTGGATTTGTACTGGGAGTGACTGCAATAACACTGGGAGTGTGTGAGAGGAACTGCAGCCATACTGGGGATAAGTGGGATCAAACTGGATTCATACTGGAAGTGTCTGGATGTTACTGGGATGATACTGAGGGTGATTGGACACATACTGGGATTATACTGGGAGCAACTGGGAGCATGCAGGGGGCAAATGGCATCAACCAGAGAGTGATTGACAGTGTCAGTTGGACTCAGACTGGGAGTCCCTGAGAGGGAAAGGAACCATCCTGGGGGGGCTGGGAGCAACTGGGACGACTTTGGGGGCAACTGGGATCCTATTGGGAGTGACTGGGATCACAGTGGGAGTGATCAGGACCATATTGGAACCATCTTGGGAGTGACTGTCAGTGCCCAGGACCATACTGGGAGTGACTGGAACTATGCAGGGGGTGACAGAGAGCAACTGGGGTCATGCTGGAAGCAACTGGGAGTAACTGGGAATGACAAGGTCCATGCTGGAGTCAACTGGCATAGACTGGGAGTGACTGGGATCACAGTGATGGGAACTGGAAGCATCCTGGGGCAGTGGAAGTAACTGGATATGACTACAAGCATGCTGAGGGCAACTGGGATATACTGGGAGAGTCTGCAACCATCCTGGGGGTGACTGGGACCACACTGGGAGTGACTTGGACCATGCAAGGGGCAACTGGGAGCAACTGGGAGTGACTGGATCTACAAGGGACAACTGGGATTGACTGGGACCCTGCTGGGGGAAGACTGGGACCA